CTGCAAGAACAGCCAGTGTTCTTAACCGCTGAGCTATCTCTCCAGCCCCAGGAAGAAGTTTTAAATCCAGTACTTGATAAATTTTAACAATTAATAAATTTGAGAAAAATTTGGCATGAAGGAAAAATAATGGAAGAAACTGATTATGGTCCACTATTCAGTCACAATGGTTTTTTTTTTTTTTTTTTCGTCTTTTTCAGACAGGGTCTCCCTGTAGCCCCAGCTGTCTTGGAACTCACTATGTAGACCAGGCTGGCCTTGAACTCACAGAGATCTGCCTGCCTCTGCTGGGATTAAAGGCATGCGCCACCACACCAGGCCACAACGGGTTATTTTAAGGAATGTTAGTTGTCAGTTTATTTAACAAAATAATGAATCCATAGTGATACTGTAGAGGAAGACTAAAGGAATGAAAGCACTTTTATCAGAAGAATGCTAGTTTAATAAATTTAGAGTGAATAAGAAGTAATCATTTTCTGTTATCCATTGCAATAGATAACTGCATGTTTGTCAATAGTTACTGAAATTCCTGGAGGAAAAACTGTTAAAGGATATTTACAAGGCCTTTAAATATTACCAAACAGGTTAGTTATTTATTGCAAAGGGAAAATGTTCCTTTGCAATGAATGGAAGAGCTGGTAGACTCTATCTTACCCATGGTTCAAATTTAACAAAACCAATTATGAAACTAGCTGACGTTAATACCACCCGATGTGACGCAGTGAAGAAACGCACATCATCACCCACGCTACTGTCCCTGCCAAACTTGTTACCATCTATCCCTGTGGTTATAGGGATACAGTTCAATAAGTCCATTTCCTCTAACAAATGATACAAATTCACCACCCGCAAAAGTCATATAATATAAAGAGACCTTAGAACCAGATGCAATTATATGAATCTTGACTGGATCTTGTACTGGAAAAAAATAGGTCTATAATACATTTTAGAAACAATCAAAAAAATTCAAACGTGGGCTAGTGGATGATCATACTAATCCATGTTGACTTTCTTAGGCCTGGTGCTCTTGCTGGTTATTCAGAAGAATGTTCTTATTCTTCAGAATAAAAATAATCATAAAATGATGAAAAAGGAAATGATACTGGTAGTATCCTGGCCTTACCTGCTGTTTAATTTACTCTGAAGGTGCTACTTGTATACTGTATCTTTTTGTTCTGGGAAATGTATATACTGTTCATTATTCAATGAGCTACATGTCAGTTTAACATTCTGAAAACTCAGCGTTTTCATTCACAAGTTAATTCTAGGCAAATGTATTTCCTTGCACAAACCAGTTGATTTTTAAAAATACATAAATAAATAATTTCTCCTTTAACAATAACTGAATACTAACTTAAGACTAATGGGCTAGAGAGAGATGATTCAGCTGGCAAGTGCTTGCCAAACAAGCATGAGGACCAAGTTCTGAGTACCAAAATCAACATAAAAACCAGGAGGGTGTGGTGGCCCACCTGCAATCCTCACGTGTAGGAAGCACTACAGGGAATCCCAGGATCAAGTAGGCTAGCAGAGTAGCTGAAAGGGCAAGCTCTGGGTTCCGTGAGAGACCTTGCCTTAGGATATAAGGTGGAGAGCAACAGAGGAAAACACCTGAAGTCTACCTCTTTGTCCTTCACATATGTGAACCTGTATACACATGCATATACACACATACCACATACAGATACGTGTAAAAAACAGGATTAATGTACTTTTTAACATATTTTATCTTATTTATTTTTATTTTTTTGTGTATGAATGTATGGCCTGCATGTGTGTAGGTGCAGCCCAGTCATGCAATGCTCATGGAGGTCAGAAGAGGGTGGTGGATTCTCTAGAACTGGAGTTACCAATGGTTGTTAGCCACTGGTACAATGGGTGCTGGAATCGACCTGGGTCCTCTGCAAGAACAGTCAGTGCTTTTAACCACTGAGCCATCTCTTCAGCCCCATTTTAAAAAATTTTTTAATTTTACATGTATGAGTGTTTTGCCTGCATGTATATAAGTGTACCAATGTCACACAGAGCCTGCAGAGTCCACAGGAGATGTGTCAGATCCTCTGGAAATGGAGTTAAGGATAATTGTTAGTTGACAGATATATGGATGCTAGAAATTGAACCTAGGTTCTCTGGAAGAGCAGCCAGTGCTCTTAACCAGAGTCATCTCTCCAGCCTGGGACAAATGTACTTTTAAATTTAAAAAGGTAATGATGCACATTGGCTGATAAAAGGAATTACTACATTGAATAGCACTTTTTTCTAAAATAGTACTTTTCTTTTTAGTTTGTACTAAAATTAGATTTAGTTTATTAACACTTACCAGAACCTAAAGTAAACTAAGCATTCATTTAGCTGATTTCTTCCAAATGTCAGTGTGCAAACACTTATTATTTTTATAGCCTTATGATAAAGGTATCAGAAGTTTATGCAGTAAAGGTATTATTTAAAAGTCACATGTTAGTTTATAGTGTAGCAAACCACAATGATCTTACTCATCCTTCACACCATCTCATGAATTAGTGAATATTATATTTTTAATTTTTCACTACCAAGATACATATTTTCTTTCTGCTACAATTTTTAACAGTGCTTTGCATATGTACTATAAATATGTTTCTTTAACAAACACAATATAGTAGGCAAACCTTTCTGCAGTCTACTTTTTTCTTCTTGAATCATTTCCTTGAATAAAAATGCATAGATGGTTTCAATTTTATTTTTCATTATATTAATTTCAAAAAATCCCCCTCAATTTCTGTGCCATTAGCAATACAGAATTACAACTCCTATCACAAAGCGCTGTGCTTTGTTTATTCCCTGCAGTTGGTTTTCGGGTATGCATTTAACCTTGTGAAGATGTACGAACTAAACTGTGTAATATTTTATCAACAGGTATCATTATACTTTTGTCATACTTTTTTTTACTGTCTCTTACATTTCATTACCTTAAATTTAATAAAGCACATGCATACTTACTATTCTAATACCAGAATGATTTCAGTTGCATTTTCATAGACTTCATGAAGATTAATCACATGAGGACAGGACTTTGTTAATTCAAGCACAGCAATCTCGTGGAGGATCTCTGCTAGACAATCCTGTCCTCTTCTTCTCTTCTTCAGAAATTTCGCAGCATACTCTTGGCCGGTAGATTTTGATATACATTGTCTAACCACAGCAAATTTTCCTCTAGGGAGAAAGAAAAGGACAGTTTTATACTTCCAACTTAAAAAGCTAATTCTTTCACATATTGTGACATTAGGAAATTTTATTTTATAAGCTGAATCAAATATCATATGTAGTTTTATAAAGTTTATAATGTTGTCACCTAAAATGTAAATGTCAAACCACCAGAGCAGGCTAAAGCAATTTAGTTTTTACTATCAATATGATACAGTTTCACTGCAAATGATGATTTCACTTACATTATCAACTCTCTGCCTCTAACAGACACCTAAGGGATATGGATTCCATGAAAAAAGTATCCAAAAGCATTTTATGATCAACTAAGAAAATTAAGAGTTATCAACAGTTAGGTATAAATATACCCACTAATGTCACATTTATCATTTTAGGAATGTATATGTACTTTTAGCTCACCAGTAGCAGTGCTCAGCACCTTACCCAAAGTTAAAAACATAAAAAATTCATTATGAACTCAACATTTAGGTTTACCAAGATGTAAAGCTATTTTGAGGCAAAGACTATTTTAGGAACTAATGAAAAATACTTATTTGCATATTCAGAAAAATGTATACATGCATGCAAATAGGAAGGTTTAGATTCAATTCCAGAGAGTTTTGAGATCTATAAGCCTTAGTTAAAAGTATCCAAATTTAACCCACCATGTTATCAGTATCTTATTTCTGATACTAATAAATTAAGTATAAATACATCTGCAGAAAGCAACTGTGGTTTTTAAACTACCCCTACCTCAGTTACACTAAAAATATACTTCTAACACAGAATATCAGCTGATATCAAGGAAAACTTTTAAACACATGTGATATTTCCAGTGTGTTGGGGGCAGTTAGAATAAATTACTTGATAGTATTTTACTTGTTACTCCAAGGGCCAGAATGACAAAGATTCTTACTTATTATTTTCCAATTTCCTCACCATTGGGTGTTAGTGAGAAGCTCTGGGCACCAAGCTAAAACAGGAGACTAATGAAAAATAAGTACAAGCTATAATTTGATTCCAACATTAATTAAAAGATGCCTCAACTACCTAACATTTCATGTACAAACCTGCTTCTTTGAAAGCAATTTCAAGATTTGAGAATGTTTCCTCATTCAATGCAAAAGAAACACAAACTGCTGCATTTCAATAAACACACAAAAAGTACATAATCCTTTAACTTTATATTCAGAACTACTAGTGCTTCAAAGATTTACACTGGATAAACTGGGTCAAAATAAGATTAAATGCCTTATGAAAGGTCACATATGGAACTGCTAAGTGCCATGAATTAAACTATGGAATATGAATTTCTAACTCTCTGGTTTCACAATTATAGAACAATTTCTCCCCTTAAAATAGTTTTGTTTCCTTATTAAGTTTAAATCTTCTAATTCTTAGATTTAGAAACAAAAGCTTGTTTAAAACAGAAAGAGAATTTGGAGTTTTAGAAAGAATTCACCGTGTAAAATGTAGGAAACAGGCAAGTTAACGGAGGAAACAGTGTATCTGAAAGACAAAGTTTACAGTAGCTGGTATAATGATCTAATTCTGTTATAGTTATTTGGTTCTATCTATAAACTAAAATTGCCTCAAAACAACGAGCAAAACTAACATGATTTATCTCATTGGTTCAGGCATTCCTGAGACTTCTGTAAACTAGTATCATACTCATTAATCCGGGACAAAGGTGACAAATGGGGGAGGAGGTAAGGACTGTCAATATTCGCTAACTAAAGGCATGAGGGCAGGGACATGTCTGATCCAATGACTTTAGAAATTATAAAATCTACATTAGCTAACAAGAGAATCTGAAATAAATCTGAATGAATGCTAGAGCTGTAAATTTACCAGAAGACCATATACTATGTTTATCCCATTTGCATATTTTTCGAGATGCCAATATAATTAAACCTATGTACATAAATTCATATACATACACTGTGAAACAGGACAAATATTTTTAGGGGGTTAGAGAGACCATTTAGCGGTCAAGAGCACTGACTGTTCTTACAGAGGACCCAGGTTTGTATCCCAGCACAATAAAGTGGCTAACAACCATCCAAAACTCCAGTTCAAGGAGATCAGAGACTCTCTTCTGTCCTCAAGTTCAAGGGGATCAGACAGATGCTCTTTTCTGTCTTCTGTGGGTATTTTGCAGCACAGGTACATACATGCAGGCATAACACTCATATACACATAAAATAAAAATATTTTTTAAAAAAAATTCAAGGTAAATACATTTACCAAAATTAGCAAGCTGCCTTAGGCAAAAAAACAAAACATGTATTTTTCTTCTATTCTAAAATGCTAGTAGAAGTCTCAAAGTATAAAAAAAAACTTCAATATATAGTATTTCTGTACCAAATTTAAGAGAAGTATTCAAGAAAACTTAAAGCCCTTAACAGTAATAGTTAATGCATGCCCTCAAAGGCAAGGCTGACTAGATTTCCCAGGTCTAACAGTTACTCTCCACACTCTAGAATACACAATAAAATATGAAGGGATGGGAGGGTAAGCCACAAAGGAAGCTGACGTTTATTTCTGAATCTGCCTCACCCTTCTAACCACAAGTCCTATGAAACCTTGCCTCAGCTGGGGGAAGGGTAGAAAAAAACTTACCCAACATGTTAAAAAACAGGAACAAGGCAAGTTTGTTAAGAATAGTAAAAAAAACAAACTTGGACTTAACTTTATGTATTTTTCTTAATTCTTAAACACTGACATTTTAAAGTAAAATTTTAAAACCCAGCTGATTTAGAAAGATAACTTTGTAGTTCTCTACATGTTAGAATTATATGTTTATATAGTATGAAATGTGCAAGCTTCCAGGAGAAGCAAGATTATGAACACAATCCCACAAGTATAGCACACTAAGATTGGTGATGATCTTGAAAGCATGTTAAGCAAGTTCATGGTACACACAAAAAAATCATGATTTGTAATTTACCAAGGTCAAAAATGAAATGTACCAGCCAATATTCACCACGTGAATCATTAGCCCACAGCAACGAAAAGACACGACTTGTCTTTGATGAAGGAAAAGAAGATGGGATACTAGCAATCTGACTTTGTTTTAACTAGATTCTAACACATTTTTCCTTTAAAATGTTTAAAAGAAAACTGACTCAAATTAATAATTGTTACTTATTACAGTACATCATTTATAAAACAATTTAGAATGATTGATAGGGTTCTTGTTTAAGAGCTCTAATTTTTAAAAATATTTTATTTATTTTATGTGTATATGTGTATTGCCTGCATACATGTAAGTGTACCCAGGTTGTGCAATGCCATCAGGTCCCCTTGAACTGGAGTACAGACAGTTGTTAGCTTTCATGTGGGAACTGGGATTCAAACCTGATCTTCTGCGAAAACAGCCAGTGTTTCTACCTGATCTTCTGCGAAAACAGCCAGTGTTCCTAATAGCTGAGCCATTTCTCCAGCCCCAAGCTCTCTAAAATTTTAAAGAAAACAAACCCCCTTTTTATTTCCTATACCTATCAATTTTGCAATTAGCTTAATAAATATAAGCAATTTTACTCACAAAATTGAACACAGAAAAATTGGAAATAATGCTTATTGTGCACATTATTCAAGGCTAGACAATCCACTCAGAACAATTTCTAAACACTCTGCAACAAAAGGAAACTAACACATCTAGTCTATCCTCTCATCTAAGAAAAAGGAAACCACACAACTAAGAACATCATACAAATTTAGATCCAGAGCAAAGACAGCTCAAGTAACTTCAAGCCCAATTAAAATTACATGGTGTTATGTGACACAGACTGAAAAACGGATGGAAGAAGGGCAGGGGGAGGGCAATGAAAGAACCAAGTACAGAAGGGGAGACTCAGGCTTCTAATGGCATCTTAGACTTCCTCAATAGTCTCCATGTAGTCTAAAAAAGTAAGCTACTAACAATGTGTGTCCAATACTAGACCTCTCCTTTTAAAAGAAACAATTGAAACTAAAAAGTGGTCCAGGAGGGTAACAGTGGCAAGGAAGACTGTCTAGACATCAGATCATATGATAATCACTTAAAGAAACTGGTAATGTTTGACTATGTTCTAATACCTGAAGAACCTCTACATGAATATATATTATATGCAGCCACAAAAAGAACCATATCTGTTAGGTAGATATTAGCAGAGGAGAAAGTAACATCTTCTATGCTTATAAGATACGATCACCCTTATGTTGTGAAAGACTGTATGCAGTATTTGAGAAAGTGAAAAGGCCAAGATTTGTCTCAACATGAATAGAAAAAGACCCCAAGAACAGGTTTAGATAAAGATTAATCATACTGTTTTCAGATAAAGATTAATCATACTGTTTTACTGTATATCTATAAATACAAGCAGACTTACAAACCATTATAAAACATAAGCTGAAGCATCTACTTCCAAAAACAAAAATCAAACTCAAGATATAAATTGATCACTGTCTTCTAACCCTTCCATAATCACATTCAGTTTGAAACTATGACTCTTCTATAGATAAATAACTTGACATAGTCTATATACTTTCATAATTATTAAAATATACATATTAAAGTTATCATAGTACTAAATGGTCTCATAATAATATCAGGCCCCTCTTTGGCCTTAAGAACTTTGCACCTTGGTTAAGCAAAGGCAGAATTTGCACAGGCTTTTACTTACAGAACACTATTTTTGTTTTGTCCTGTTCTTTTTGAGACAGGGTCTCCCTGTAGCCCCAAAAGGACTGGAACTTAAGAGAACAGTCTGCCTCTGCCTTCCGAGTGCTGGAATTAAAGGCGTGTGCCACCATGATCGGCTAGAATACTAACTATTTGTGACACAAAACTATAATATCCGACATGAGTTAAACATTTTTAATTTATGAAATAGGTGCGGAATGGAAGACTATCTCCCTGTTGCCTTTATAGACAAAAATAGTATCCTAGGAACTGAAAAAAAAAATGTATTAAACAAAAACATTAACACTGTATTAAGTACTTACAAATATTAACTCTCAAAAAATTCAATAAAGTAAATCAAGGCAGTTATGTTTTGAATGAGGGCACTATGGCACCAAGAAGTATACTAATTCAATTGAGGTCACACAGTGAGTAAATGGCAGAGTCCAGATGTGGTCTTGTCAGTGCACTACTTAAGCTGCCTCTGTCTATTCACAGACTCAGGAGATGAGAGCGCAGACTCTGAACTAGGTGGGAAGTTTGATAGAGACTCATGAGCCCCTCCACAGATTTGACTTTCCAGTCAGTTAAGACTAGACCCTGTAAAATAACAAGAGAGATGACTTCTCTTTCTAATTATTGATAACGGTTCTAAGTGAATTTTATAGTAGAAATTCAAAATTCAAATTTAGACAGCAAACATAAAGTTTCCTTACCTTCCGAGCTCTTTTGATGTAAGTGTATAGAAATTATTAAAATTTTCCATCTTCATTGGTGTTTGAGGAGTTGTAGTTATCAAGCCTGAGATACTTCGGCAATCAAATCTTCTTCGTGCCATGTCCACCTAACTCCCAGATCCACTTCTCTAGGCACCGTTTTTACCTGCTTAAAGAAGAGGCGAGAGAGGATATAACTTAAATGTAAGAAAAAAAGACGTTATCTCAGGCAGGATGTGCATTACATTACACAACTCCAAATATAGAAATAAGAAAGAATCAAAAAGCAGGTGATGATTTAAAAAGCACACTCTACCCATAAGGAGGAAAAACCAAAAGCACATACCAACAAAACTGATGCTACCTTAACAGAGCTACTGGCTTCACTTCAGAATAAAACTGCTGTAAAAACAGTAAGAAATAGTTATGATGAAATTGGAATGCAGGTGAGATTTTATTTTATTTTAAACTGTCATTCTTCAGAGCCAAAGCTTCCACACAACTATGTAATTTAATACATAAAGTAATGACTATTCGTTTTCATCTCATAAGGTGAAGCAAACTTGGCAAATTCACGTTTTGTGAGTTACATGGCTGACTGTGAAAGACAAGAAATAGAACTTGTTGTACAGGCTAGCTACTTTTCAAAACTAAATTCAGAAACTCCCCTAGGCCTTTAAGGGTTCCTGAGTGTAGGCAGAACCTAGCATTGAGTCTGCCATGTATGAGAATGCAATCACTTTGCTAAATCAGTGACCAATCACACACACAAATAAAACATAGACCCAGAATTCAGTCCATATCTGAAGTTCGCATAATCTGCAACTTTGTGATTCTTCATATAACCAGTTTTAACATCAAACAACTATTTCACATTAACTGAATTCATGTAATTGTGGTAGACTCTGTAGTTCAAGATCCTTCTGATTTTCTTCTATGCCTGCCTAATAAATGATCTGGTGATACTTTGCTAGCATCCTCCTGTAATAACCCTCTAGACTAAGTTCCTTTTTGCCACATCCCCTTCCCCATTCCTTACTTGAGAGCTACCCTTCTTTATTTTCCTACATTCAAATGCCAACCACTATCTTCTACTTAGCAAACTGGCAGTGTGATTAGAGTTCACTCTTTTCTGTTCTATTACTTTATTTTGATTTTCAAATCAGTAAAATGTTTCTCTACATCCTTGAACCTTTGGGAGAAACAAGCCTCAAGGCAGTTTTGGAGTGTATCTCTAGGAGTCTGAGTATCAGTGCAATGCACCAAAATAACATTTGAGCTAAAATGCACTTGGGTTGAATTCCATTTATTTATCATTCCAGTCATGAAACCATACATATTTTTAACTTCTCTACTGTATCAGTCAGCTTTTTGTTACTATAAAGGAATTTTCAAATAGTTATTTATAATGAAAATGCTATTTTGGATCACAGTTCTGGAGATACAAGGCCTAGGGACCTCATTTGATGGTGGCTTTCCTGCTGAAAACTCTAGAGACAACACAAAGTGTCACGTGGCAAGAGACAGAGTGTGTAAACGTGTCTGGTCTCTCCTCTCATAAAGCCACAGGTATGCTTCATCATCATGGGGGTTCTAACCTAAAGAGCTTATCTAATCCTAATCATTTTCCAGTGGCTCTGCCTCTGAACGCCATGGACACTAATATCCTCACCTTCTTAATACCTCACAATGGCTGGGTGTGGTGGCATACACACACCTGTAATCCCAGCACTCAGAAACTATCTGGAGGTTTAAGGCAAGACGGTGACATTTTGAGGCTAGCCTGGAATCTACAGTGAGTACAAGGTCCAGCAAGACCTTGTCTTAAAAGAGAAAAGACAAAGTACCTCACAGTGGAAATTCAACATGAGTTTGAAGGACAAGCTATATTCAAATCATAGCGGCCACTATTATAGGCTAAACGATATCTTCCCCATATTTATATAGTGAAATACTAACCCCCAGTACCTCATAGTATAACTGCTTTTTGAGATAAGGACTTTTAAGGTGGTGACGAAGTTAAAATGAGATCATTAAAGTGGGCCCTAATCCAATATGACTCGTGTCCTTATAAGAAAAACAGACATTAAAAACAAAAAACAAACATGAAAGACCTGTCCAAACACCAGCAGAAAATGGTCACATATCGACAAGCCAAGGAAAGAGACTTTGATTAACTTTTTGTTTGTTTTTTAAAACAGGGTTTCATTATATAGCCCAGGTTAACCTAGAACTCTCTATATAGTCTAGGCTCTCTGTCTAAGCCTCTCCAATGCTGTGATTAAAGGACTGTACCACCACACCTGGTGTTCAGTTAACATCTTTGTTCCTTCTTAGTTCTGATGAAATTGTTTCACTGGTCACATTTTACTGTCTGAAAATTAGCAGGATATCAACTTTTATGGTCAGTCTGTTTAGGGTAAGTTTTTCCTGTATCACCTTTGGGCTTTTAGACTCTTTTATCTCAATTTAAAAGCCTATGCTTATGGTCACACTTTTATTATTCACATTTCTACATATGGAAGGGTTGGGCCTATTCAAAAGGTACAAGTGGGCTATACTCCAACACTTTTCATCAATAAAGAGCATGTCAAATCCACCCACAGAAACAGGCTTATGAGCCTTCATTTTTGTTCCATCTAGATTTTAGATCCTGGATATCTACCTCATGCTGTCATCTGTTAGCTTCAAGTTGATCTAGTCACAGAAACTGTAGAATAAACATTTTATGAATAAGCATTTTTTTCAAGAGCCTATTTTCAAGAGCCAATATGATCCTTTAATGGCATCAAAGATTTATGTTTAATTAAGCATGATTTACAAGTTAAAAATATTTCAAAAACTGGTTGAATTCATAAGCCCTAAAATCCAACAAGGAACAAATAATTAACACCTAAATAGAATATTATACATTCAACAAATAAGTACTTTCAAAGATTATTTTTAACTCATTAAGTGTAAAAGACACAAAACTTTATATATAGTATGATAAACCAGTGGGTAAAACATAAAAGTAAATAGAAGATTGGAAAACTATAGTAAAATGTTACTAGTAGTAATCCTTAGTGAGATGATGGCAATATTTCTAATTTCTAATTTCTTATTCCAAACTATCTACGTTAAAGTACTACTTTAAGCCGGTCGTGGTGGCGCACGCCTGTAGAACCAGTACTTGGGCGGCAGAAGCAGGCAGATATCTGTGAGTTCAAGGCCAGCCTGGTCTACATATTGAGTTCTAGGACATGTGGGGCTACAGGGAGACCCTGTCTCAAAAAAAAAAAAAAAAAAAAAAAAAAAAAAAAAGTACTACTTTAATAATCAACAAAAACAAATGCCTTTGGGTTAAAAAAAAAGACAGCTATGACTGTTGTCACATTACCTCATGAGAGTAAATATTTTTTAAATTTAATAGGAATGTGTACTCCTGTAGTACAACATAAATTCTTCCTTATAGAAGAAGATAGCTGTGACTATGTAGTCAGATAAATACATACTCTCATTTGCAATAGCAACAGCTATCAATCTACATAGTAAGAGTTTGCTTTTTCTGAAGTTCAAGAGTCATTATTAGTTTTATAAGTCCTCAAAATCTTTGAGTTTACATGCAGCTACTGGTGTTTATTATCCAAATCATGGGCCAGATCTCATGAAGAGACCATGTAAAACTTTAGGCTATATTCTAAGCAAAAACTAATACACTGTTTAATATTACATAGAAAAATACTGAACAACTTTTGAATTAACTTAGTTTTAATTCGACGTAAGTCAGTAACCTTAAGATATATGCCTTTCTTAAGAAATATTCTGGTGAGAATGTAAGAATGAAGATGGGAAGGAGTGCTGTGAAATATAGTGCTCTGGACAAGACATGGTGGTTGTACTTATCAACTCACAGCTGCACAAGCTCAATCCAGAACTTCTGAGGCCCCACCTCTAAGGAGCTAGTAGCAACTGAGAATCACTTTTCTTTAGAGGGTGACCACTGGTAGGCTCTCCATGGTCTAGTGGATGGCCCCACACCCATGTGCATATGAAGACACGAAGTTGGGAAGGAGATGTGATGGGGGGGGACTAGGATGAGTTAGAGGCTGGATATGATCAAGATACATTGTATATACACATGAAATTTTCAAAAAATTAAAATTTAAAAAGGGGAGATATATAGCTTTTACATGAGCATTGTGAAAAAAATCCAAACTCATCCTGGAACCCCTCCAAAAAAAGCAAAAATTTGATACCTAAATATACTAACAAAACTTAAGTTTGACAGCCTATTATTTAGTTATATTAAGAGAAAAGGGGGCTTGGGTTTTGTTTTTGTTTTTTGTTAGTAAGTATAATGCATAATGATAGTCTACACAAGGGCTTATTTGTCAATCTACTGAAAGAAATTTCTTAATTGTAGACATTTTGATATGGATTTAACTCTATAGCCTAACGAATTCTGTAACACTCATATGAACCGAAGGACATTTTAATGGATGAATATGCCACAGGTACTTGCATGATAATAGATGTAGCCGAAAACAATGTTGGGCAACCAAGCTTTTCAAATGCGTGTTAATACAAAAATGATTTTTGGTGTGATTTTTTTATTTTGGCTCTGCATATCCTGAGACACAAGTTTTGTCTCAAGAGTATCTCTAGAAACTGAACCTTAAGCATACCTACCTATTGTTAATATCCTTACATCAGACATTGTTGTAAGTATCCATATAGGATTTCTTGTTTAGCTTCTTCTATGTACTATACTTAAATCAGGTTCCACAGTCTAGATCTTTTCCTACTTTTCCTCCTTTGGCCAAATTTGCATCTAATAGAGCATAAATGTCACCTTTGTCAACCAAAGCCTTTACAAACAGGAGTTCCTTTCATGTAATATATGTGAATCCAGCCAGCTGGCTCTCTGTCTCTCCTTATATAATAATCTAAAATTCCCACCAAATGCTCTTATTTCTAATAAACAGTCCATAGATACCTTGCCATCTGCAATTCAAAGACTTAGAATTAATTCTAAATAAAAGATATAAATCATTCTAAATTCACAAATTACTAATATGTCTTACTCCATTTGAAGTCTATTTCTTAACAGTGTATCAAACTATACCAATACAAAAAAACTTAAGGGATCTCGTAAGTAAATTTGCGCTTGTACACAATTGATAGAAGGCATAAGCACATAATAGAAGGTAAGATACAAACATGACTTCAAATACACAGCACTACTAATAACAGCACTTACTTCCATTTATTTATTAACTCCCATTAGAGTAATTACAGTAAGAATTCAGTTATGGATCAGGGAAGGAAGGAACAAAAGGCACTTTTAGGTTTGATCCATTAAGACTTATTGAATGGAGAAAACACACATGGAAAGCACAATAAAAATCCTTTTAAACCTCTAAATAGCTATATTAAAAATTATTCATTGTAATATTCATTTCAATGTTATCAAATAAAAAGGTTTTATGAAAAAAGAAATTACAAAATACAGTAATGAAAACTTTAGAGAAGTAAATCGCCCGTTTTCATTCCTTCCTTAGTGCCAGGACTTACAACCTAAAACCCTTTCTAGCATGACACACAGCTCACAGAAGCCAAGTGGACACTGGATTCATTTCCTGTCACACTTCAATCTCATATTTTGCCTCTGTAGCTTTGACTTTTCTGTCTGAAAAATCCTTTCTACCTTTCCTTAAATGGCTACTTCTTATTCATGTTCTGCCCCAGGAGGTTTTGCTTAAAAGCAACAGGTCGACTTAAATGCCTTTGCTTTATGCTGCAAACAAGACGACTCTTGACATACCCTTTTACCTCAAAATTTAATGTTAGACTGAAATCAGATTCAGTGTCTAAAGCACAGGAACCTTCTACTTCCCAGCCTAAGCAACTCAGCTTGGTGTATAGTACCTGTTAAGAGTTGAAAAATGATAAAATCCAGAGCAAAATGAACATTTAGGTACATCTCATATCTTCAAGGGATTCATCTTGAAACTGCAGTATTAGAACGTCCAACACAGCTAGTCTCTATTTGCTTCAGTATTAAGACTAAATAAAATAATGTTTAAAATTGCTCTTACATAATTTCAGTTCAAAACAGGTAGCCACACAGTCCAGGAACATGAATGAAATTATTTTTATCATTTACTGTAATAGACGATCAAAAGACCATTTAATCTACACTTACCAATCATTCCAGACTAGGTGACTACTTGTTTTCATGTAAATACCTACTTTAGCTAAGAACATCCATATCTGTCAGACATTTGTCCCATCCAAAGACCAACAAATTTAGATCTTCACAGGGAAGCAACTTCTCCTTTCTACCTGACACTAACGAGAACAAGCTGTGTCTAGGAAACAGAAAAACTGAAGACTTACTTATGTAGCATGCATAGAAAAGAAAGAACTTTCTGCCTGTGTAGCATAGGATCTGCTTTAGACTAGAAGACGGCATTGGTATTAAAGGATGAGTATGAGGATGACTCTCAGTTTCAAGGAAGAGGTTGTATTCTTTGTATGTATTCTACTAACAGGTTTTTATTGTTTGTTTTTAAAAACTGGACAGCAAGTATCATTCAAGAATTTAATCCTCTGAAAATCATAGTAGGAAGCCAACTAAACTGACTTTAGTACAACCACTCTAGTATAGACTACCCCTGGGCTACAGTCCCAGCAAGGAACCCAAGTCTGACAGTAAGGCCTGATACTGACTCTCCCATCTTCAGCAAAAGAAATAAATTCTGTAACTGTAAAGTAGGATTAAGATGTTGAAAAATGGAAATAATTGTGGGCCAACAAATACACAGTGCTTATCATTCATCAGATGGAAAATTAAGTTTCTCTTGTAAAATAAATTACTGTTTACTTAACAGCACCACTGAAGTACTGTTTATTCAGTTAACTAATAGAACGAAAAATGAAATCTAATCTTCAAGGATTAAAAAGGAACTGCCATTTCAATGTTAAAATTTCTCGATGCTTTCTTTTGGAATAGTTGGAAAGTATAAAGGGATGAATCAAAACATATTATATGTAAATATGAAAGAAATGGATTCACTTACATACTTAAAATACCAATAAAGTATTAATTAAATGCTTTGGGAAAAGGATAAATTGAAAAATAATGTCCTCAAAATTGCAACATTCATTACAACATAATTACACAAAATATGCACTTGTAACTTAATTTCCAAGAATATTTCTTTTTGGTGCCAGGTTCTGAAAGCAGCACAAAGTCAAACCCTTTTCTACTAGTCTGCTATAGAATATGAACTCTGTGGGGCTGAGGATATAGTTCAGTTGGTAGAGTGCTAACTTTGTTTGCATAAGGCCCTATATTCAATCACCAACACTACCAAAAATAAATAATCTAGAATATAAACTACTTAAAAATAAATCACTGAATTTCTTCATCAGTAGTATAGAAAAGCAACTAAGTTTTCCTAAGCAGAAAGGCAATATTTAATTAACTTTTTTTTTTTTTTTTTTTGGCTTTTCTGAGACAGAGTCTGCCTGTAGCCCCAGCTGGCCTGAAACTTGCTACTGAGACCAGGCTGACCTTGAACTTACAGAGATCTACCTGCCTCTGCCTCCCCAGTGCTGGAATTAAAGGCGTGCACCACCACACCCGTCAACTTAATATTTCTTACGCAGTAAATACACAAAAATTATGAAAGAATTCTTTTTTCAGGGTTGGAAAGTAAACTTGGGCCTCAATCATGCCCGAGCAACTGATCTACCACTGAGCTATATCCCCAGCAAGAAAATTCTTAAAAAAAAAAAAAAAAAAAAAACCAAAACCCTTTAAAGCTAATAGTAAGTCAGTGGTTCAGTGATAGAGTAACTGTCAAGCATCCAAGAGGCAAGATTTCTGCGCACAAGAAATATGCCCTATAATATACCACACATGCAGTTTTAAGACAGTTTAAGGATACAATGAATTAATAATTGATTTCCTTGATTTGTGTTTTAGTCTCTAAGATTAAAACAGAAATTTTGATACAGAAATCGTCCCTTGTAATTATCAAATAGGTACCAAACAAAGCTTTAAAAACCTATTTACATGTTCACTCAACACCAGTGAACCATTCATGGTCAGTGTAAACTTAAAATCAAATTAATTAAAAATGTCTGCTATTAAATGTTTGCATCTTCTTATTCACTCTGATTTCTATCTCCACTTTAATTAAAAAAAAAATTCTACCTTGACCAAATTGTAATTTCTTTTTTCTTCCTAATTTTTGTATTACATTTATTTATTTACTTATTTATTTATATGTGTGTGCATGTGTGTGCAAGGACACAAACATGCCAAATGTGGAGGTCAGAGACAACCTGTGGAAGTAGCGCCTCTTCTTCCACCACGTGGGTTCTGGGGATCAAAGTCAGTTCATCAGGCTTGGTGGCAAGCACCTTTACCCACTAAGCCATCTCCCTAGGGGGTGATCCCACAAGAAACTCACCATTTTATGCATGAACATAAAAGATTATCAAATTATTACAGAAATGTTACTTTTCTAACTGAAACATATGCCATGCAAGTACATGTATTTTAATAGTAGACCTGTATTTTTAAAAAGTATCTGAAATACATGCATATCTCAAAAAATTATTAATAGTTACTCGAAATATTAAACTACCAGAAAAAATTTGAGAAGACAGGTGTAAACCTTTGTCATTATTCCTATGGACTAGCTTTTTGAAAAATACATAATTTTAAAGCAATGTAGTTCAAGTTTTACAAAGCAACCATTTAGAGGTTCACCATAAAATTGTCCATCGGTGAACCTATAAGAAGTGAGTTTATCTGTTCCTGCAATGAAACTGCTCCTGGGTTCAAAATGACAGATTACACATGCTGCCAACTTGCTTGTCATCTCCGCACACCTTGCTTCTCAACACGAGTCTCCTAGCCTTGAAAACTTAAAAAGTGCTCACCCTATCAAACTTGCCTGCAAGGTCTGGCGTAGCAGTACCACGGATTGTAAACATGACATCAGCCACAAAAATCCGTGAATGTTACACACAGACATAAAGTGTTTAAATAGAATTGAAATCACTAGGCTTTTATTCTTAATAATTTACAAAGTGAAACTGCAGGGACCTTAGTCCCAAACACAAATATACAAAAACCACTGACACTCGCCACCAACTGTCCACCAAGTTTCTTTCAACTTTGTCCCGGCTCATCTATCCTCCGAGGGAAGGCAATGAGGCGCTTTTTCCCACGATAAGGCCGAGCCAGGGTAAACGTCCAAACCATACCAGGTGTAGCCGGCTAGTCCGCCGACGGGTCATGCGCACAGAGGGCTTTCCATGGCCTTCAATCCAAACTAAAAAGTCACGGAAGCAGCGGTGGTTCTTCTCCATCTCCCTTTGCTCATCTGAAACCCTCCCAACGCGAGGTCCGCCGGCGCCCGACTGATGAGCGCAAGCTTTCCGGGGCGGTGGACTCGCCGCGTCCTCGAGACCCGACCTTGTAAAGGCGAGGGTTCGGCACCCACGGCGCGCGGGGGCCCGGGAGCCACGCGGAGGACCACGTCGACGCAACGTGGAAGTAACGCGCGGGAGAGGGCCGCGAAGCCGTCCCTCGTGACAGTCCGGTCTCGACCCTGACGCTCGCCGGTCGCCGCCCCGGGACGCGGGGCTCGGACTGCGCAGCGCGGCCGGAGCGTTACGACCAGCCCCGGGTCCGGTGCGCTCGGTCCCGCAGGCCCGCGGCCTCCGCCCGACCCCTCGCGACTCCCCGCAGGGTCCCCGCGCCCCAAAGCCCCGGACACTGACCGCTCGGCCGCCACTCCGCGCCGCCGCCGGCTCTGCCCTCGGACGTGCTCCGTCTCGCTCCCGCCGGGGTCCCCAGGACACTCGTGTCTCTCTTCCGGGACTACGGCTGGTAGCTGTAACCCGCGGAGCGGGGGGGAGGGATGTCTGAAGTGACTCCTAGCGGCGACCGCAGCACAGACCCAGACCAAAGCTTCTTACAGTTGAGGTTTGAAAAGTGCAGCCGCGTCTAGAGCAGCACACTTCGCTGGAGCCCGCCCTCTCGGGCGAGACAGCCAATCGAGCGCGCGAGGAGGGTGGGGCCGTCACGTGGCGGGCAGGGCGGGGCTCCGGTTGGTGCCGCGTGCTTCGGGGCGGGGCCGCAGCGGTGGAGTGGGCGGGGCCTGCGCCACTGCGCAGGGAGGCTGGACAGCCCGCGAGCAGGTGAGAGGGGCTTGGCGGGTTGCCCGGGTTGCCCGAGTCTAAGGCTGAACTATAAGGGCATCCGTTCCCATCCCCAGAGTGGTCCGCGAGGTGTGAGTATCCTGACACCACAGAGGATTCGTCCCAACTGGTTGCCTCAGTGCAGCCAAAAACCGGTTTTCTAACTTCCTGTCATGTTCCTTAGCACCTGAACCTACTTCCCAAATGGAGAGTCCAGTTTACCCCTGTCTTAGAAGAAGTTCTTGGAATCAGCACTGCTTGAGGATTAATGGATCCTGTCCCTACGGCTGGTTGTCCTGAGACACTGGCTCAAGGCATTGTAAGGAGAATCCAATTAGGTTTTCATATACTATAGAAGGAAAAAACTGAAAATCTGCAGCAGCTGACTCAGCATCTGTTGCTCATTTTTTTAGTTTCCATTTTTGTTGGTGTTAGGGTATGCCTTTAATCCCCGCACTGGGAGGCAGAGGCAGGTCTCTGTGAGATAGAGGCCAGCCAACACATAGCAAGTTCTGGTCTAGCTGGGGCTAGGGGATGTTCTTGTCTCAAAAATGAAAAATAAATAAACAAAAATTAAAAGTTGAAAGTTAGGTACAAGACACATATAAGATCCTAGATCATTAGTATTTATATGGTAGATACACATATAATCTAGGATTGGTTGTAGAGTATATATATCTTGGCAGGTTTAAAAAAACTACTGATGGACTGGGCATGGTGGCACACTCCTTTAATCCCAGCACTCTGGAGGCAGAGGCTGGCAGATCTCTTTGAGCTCAAGGCCAGCCTAGTTTACATAGTGAGTCCAGGCCAGGTGGTGCTACAGGGAGACTCTGTCTCAAAAAGACAAAAAACAAGAACAAAAAACCTACTGAGAAAAAATATTGGGAGTGGAATCCTCATGCCTTGAAAAGATCTTAACAGCAGCATTCTGAAAGGGAAGTTCGCTTGTTCTGTCACACTTAAACCAAGGAAATTCCCTCAAGCCACTGGTTTGCTCTTCCAGGCCTTATTTTTTCCCCAAGATAAATTCATTGAAAGCATCATGGTGGTTTCATGAAATCTCTGTTATTTACACTGTCCTCCAAGCTTTGTAAGGTGGAAAATACTGCTTTTCTCTGCCTGATTTTTGTTGTTGTTGTTGCTATTGCTTGTGCTGACCAGAGAAGCTTAAAGTTAGGATGGAAACAAAACCACACACTAAAATTGACTTGTCAAGTCTCTTAAGAGTCCCCAAACCAATGAAACTGTACTTGTATTTTTACAGACTGCATCCCAAAGTGTTGCAATCATCACTGGACCAGTACCCTCTTGGGCTTCATTGTGGTGGGTTTTGGTATGTGTACATGTGTACTCTGTCTGTATCTTTTTAATTTCAACATGTAATCAGTTGCCAGTTTGCATGTGTGTGCGTGTGTGTGTGTTGGCTTTTTATATGGGTTCTGGGGATCTGAAGTCAGGGACTTATGGTGGCATGGCAAACACTTTTACCATCTGAGACATCTCCCTGGCCCAGTTGCCAGCTTTGAAGCTGTCATCTTACATTCCATTCTTATTTTCCATTCTGTCACCATGCCAACCCCACATTATACTTAGACACAGATCTTTCTGTCTATGACCACTTTAAACCAGGCTTCTGAGTCCGAATCCCTCAGCTCTGCTCCAACCAACCTCCTATAGCCTTCAGTGTCTTAAGTTTTTCTTCAACCTTGGCTCCAGCTTCTTACCATCCTCCTAAGCCCTGTGCATTAGTTCTGAACTTTTTTTTTTTCTGCTTGTTTTTGTTTTTTTTTGAGACAGGGTCTCCCTGTAACCCCAGCTGACCTAGAACTCACTATGTAGACCAGGTTGGACTCACAGATATCCACCTGCCTCTGCCTCCTGAGTGCTGGGGTTAAAAGTGTGTGCCACCGCACCCGGTTGAATTTTTTTTTAAATATTTTATTATGTGTATACGTGCATTGCCTGCGTGGGTAAGTGCACCTGTGTCATGCAGTGCCCAGGGAGGGCAGAAGAAGCTGTCAGATCCCCTGGAACTGGAGTTACAGGCAGTTGGTAGCTACCATGTGGGTGCTGGGATTCGAACCCAGGTCTTCTGTAAGAACAACCAGTGTTCTTAACCACTGACCCATCTCTCCACCCCCAAGTTTTGAACTTTTAAGCAGGTTACCTTCCCCGGGAATCAAAACTCTGTTGATTTCTACTCTGCTTCTAGCCTAGTCACCCTATGTTCCTTGATGTATTTGTTCCATGTGTTAGTTCTACATCCCCGTTCTGGTTTCATTTCTGTTGCTGTGATAAAATATCCTGACAAAAAGCAACTTAGGGGAAAAAGTGATTTATTTCAGCCTAAAATTCCAGATTACCATCCATCATTGTGGGGAAGTCAAGGCAGGAACTTCCACAATCAACAGCAAAGAAAAATGAATGTGTACTTGTTAACTTGCTTGCTTGTGCTGAGCTCAATTTCTCTAATCTTATATAGTTCAGGTGCTGCCCAAACTGGGTTGGGTCAGCTAACTTAAAATAATCTCACAGCCATGCCTACAAGCCAAGCCCACATAGACTCTCATTGGCACTCTCTTCTCAGGTGGTTCTACATTGTATCAAGTTGACAAAGCTAACCATCACAGTTCCATAACCATGTGCCTGATGTCAAACTATGCTCTTCCAAAAACATTCAGCTACTTTTCCTTGGTCTCTGCCACCGTGGCTCAAGTAACACCTTTGTTCTCTCAAGGAAATTCAGGATTCAATGCATTCCTCCATTCTATCTCATTTACCTAAGTACACTCATAGCCTTGAATGTTCTTGCCATCATTCCCTTGAGTAGGACATCCTCACATAGTGTGAAGGTCATTCTGTTGTCATTGCCTATGACCAGCCTATTAAGCTGATATCCTTGAATTTCACTGACCAGGCATGGTGATTGTTACAGATTCCTAATTCATATGCACCTTATATGTACATTAATATGACTGTGTTTGGAGATATGACCTTTAAGAGGCAATTAAAGTAGCATAAGGTAATATCAAAAGGTAATACAATATGACTGGTGTCTTAATTAGAAGAGATTTATGTCCCAGCAAAGACCTAGGGACAATCATGTAAAGAAACTGCAAGAAATCAGCCACCTCTAAGATTCAATCTGATACCTGAACTTGTACTCCAGAACGGTGAGAAAGTTTCTGTTGCTTAAGCTACTCTGATATCTGTCATGACAGCCCTAGAAAATTAGTACACGTGTCCTCTCTAAATACTTTGGGTTAGTACTCACATGTTTGACTAGGGACAATGGTCCTTCCTGGTCACATTAGTAAATCATACCTGTGCTCAGATCATGCCACAGTATCCACCGTACCAGGAAAGGTGACATTCCCTCCTCCTACCAGGCCAACCACCACATATTGACCAGAGAAAGTGATTCTTCTGATCCCATGCTTAATCCCTACAGATGAGAGGAGGGTGGAATTTTGGACAGGGAAGAAGGCTACAAACTCAGTCTCTTGGCACCAATACATCCTCCTTATAAAGAATGCCTGCCAGGTATTTATATATTAAGATCCTATATTTTAATCCATGTGGAAAGCAGGGGTATAAACCCACTCCTATCTGTCCACAACTGAATAGTCCAGACATTTGTGGCCAGGCTGAAGGTAGCCAGACATGAGCAGAGCCAACCACTTCTGAAGAAGGATGATTCTAACATCCAACCAACAGAGGTATTCACACTGGATGGAGATCAGGCCTCCATATACATTGCCTCTATGGTTGTAGTAGCACAGAACATCACTTCCTGATGTCAAATGTAGACACCACAGTGCCTTTAATCATACCAGCTACAGTACACGATGAGTTAGAAAGCACCAAGAACCAAAGATGCTGTACTTCACATCCTTTGGCTCTCATAAACCCTATTAGCAAAAGTAATTGGGGCAAGTCTTTCTAGTTAAGAGCAGTGTCTCAGTATGATCCAAATACGTTCTTCAACACTGACATAATTTGTGATTGAGAAGGACCACTGTGCCAATACAACTATCTACCACAGTTTATAGACTATAACTTTCAAAGCTCTGTGAAAGAACTTCCATTCCAAATGGTCTACTAGCCATATTTTTAAAAGTGAAAATATGCAGTTAATTTTGACAATCTAGTTTATTGAACTCTATATATCTAATTTATTGCCACTTCAACATGGACTGAGTTATTGGATATTTTACTTCATTTTTATATCGTCTTAAATCTAGTGTATATTTTGTACCACCTGGCACTTTCTAGTTCTGATGCTAAATGTGTTTATACATTATTTAGCATTGAAAAAGAAAATTCACACCCTTAAATTATTTTGAGTACATTAAATTTTTTCAATAAGTGAGTATAGTATCCATTTCTTATTAAAAGTTCATTCAAGAGAAGTAAAATGAAAGTTCAGCCACACCAAGCCACATTTCAAGTGTTCTATAGACACGTGTTTGGAGACTGCAGTACTGGACAGTGCACTCTACAAAGCTGCAAATATACTGTATTATTTACTTTTCTGTTGTTATGAAACACAATGACCAAGGCAACTTATAGAAGGAAGAGTTTATTTGGCTTACAGGTCCAGAGGGATAAGAATCCATCATGGCAGGAGAGGCATGGCAGGGGGCAGGCAGAGCAGCAAGCTAAGCACTCATTATCTTCAAGCAGACACTGGAGTCAGAGAGAGCAACTGGATTCTGGAATGAGACTTATGAACTTGCAAAGCCCACCCCCAATGACATGCTTCCTCCAGCAAGTCCACACCTCCTAAACCTCTGCAAACACTGCCGCCAACTGGGACCC